AAAGGAAGAAATAAAGAAATATAGAAAAGCAAAAGGCAAAGCAGAGAACAATATAGCGAAGGAATATAGCGAAGGGATAGCGAAAGGAAATTAGCTAAGAGAAGGCAGAAATACTAAGAAAAAGAAAGAAGCAGAAGAAAAGAAGTGAAGAGAAGAGAGGAAACAGAAAGATAGAGAATCAGCGAAATCGAGAAAGAAAGAGATACAAAGGAAAAGCTAGAGGCAAGAAGGGTAGGAAAATAGAGGCCAGAATAGAGTTAACGATGGAAACAGGAAAATTGACGAAGGGGAGAGCGAAACACCGAGAAGGAGGGGAGAGACAAGAGGAAAAAGAAAGCGGAAGGAACGGGGATCCCTGGTTGAACGGAGGAGAAGACGGTTCTAAGTCGGTTGCGGATGATGAAGCGAATCAAGTAACAGTGGCGGTTTACGTGCGATGCAGCCTTGAGGAGCATCGCCCCGGGGAGCATTTCCTGGAAACGCGTTAGCAACGAAACCGTCTGTGCTTAGAATTTTCAAGCGGCGACGAGTGAATTACATACCTCCCGTCACGGAATCAATGGCGCCTGAAAATGTGTACGTAAGCGGCGACGGGCCGGGGAACGGCGACGTTATTCCGCGCGGCCCCCGGCTCAACGGACCCAGGTTACCAAACGGGTTTACGACTGCTCCGCGCGGAAATTTTAATTTATTCGACGCGGTTCAGCGACGAAAGCTGGCTCCTGCTAACCGATTGTTAAAGCTGTTCCGTTTCCACGGGACCGTGGAATCGAGGACTCTACAGCGAGCGTGCAGCTGCGTTTTGTACAGTTCTTACAGTTTGGACGTTTGAGCGTTTCTTTATTAACACGTTGAATGCCATGTGGGTCACCGGTGACCGCCCAAATTCAGTCACTGCAATTCTCTCAATTAAACGATGATGGGAACATTCCTATATTGTAAACAACGCTACATAATGCGACGACATTCAGCAAAACAAACCTGCGATAACAACGCAATTCAATGAAATTATTTGATATTGCACCTTTTTCATTTCGTATATTCTGCACCTTAAAATCGTGCAGCGTACGACGTGTTAATGACGGAAGCTACTTATAGTCGAAGCGTCGAATTTTATTTTGTGCAGTGTACAGTGGCGTTCGAAAGTTTCCACATGGGTTTCGAAACTTTTACACGATGAAGGCTTTAAGAACTTTTTGGTATTGTGACGTATAAAGATGTCGCGTGAGAAGATACTATAGGACAATCAACACCTATTCTTTATACATGTTTCTTTAGAAATAAATAATTCGGTATTTTCAAAGGCTTTCGGCCGGAGTGTTTGAAAGAGAAACTAATGCTTGTTTTCTATTATAATAATTATTTAACGTTCAGTATTGAACATATTACACTTATTTTGTGGCTCTATCCTTTGCACTAATGACAGCGACACATCTATGTTGTATGGAATCAATACCGAAAACGATCTGGAACTTGAACGCTGTAGATCCGTCGGAAAGTTTAATGCACACCAGAGAAAATGGAGCTCAGGGAAAGACGTTAAAGAAGAAACGAACGAGTGAATCAATAATGTATTGAACACCATCACCGCTTTACATGCCATAGAATATAAACATTAGACACTATTCACGCTCAGTAGGATACCAATACGTCGCGCAGATCGTTGAGCCCCGTTTGAACGTCAACTCGCGCAATTACCCGCAAGTATGACACGCATTCATCAAATAAGAGACACGAATTACATCGTAATCATTGCGCGTTTCAAGTATCACATTTACGAATGGAATACAATACATCTTAGAAACGATAGTCGTTTAAATCTTGTTGCGCTGACGACCTTTACTTCCTAAGCTATTCGTCAGTCGTTGATGGCAGACTATGTACGAGTATTTACGATCGACTTCACTGTAACTGGATTATTCAATGTCATTAATGAGTTTCCAAGATTCGTCGGTTGATTCCGTACTTTCGCTGGATGCCGTCGGAGACGGTGTCGTTGGAGCTGGTGTGCTAGTCGGTTCCCAAGTTGGAGTTGTGTTGGTATTAGGTTCCCAAGTTGAAGTGGTGTTTGCATTATTTTCCGTGGTAGTCTGCGGCGTGGTAGTCTTCTCCGTGGTAGTCTTCTGCGTGGTGGTCTTCTGCGTGGTGGTCTTCTGCGTGGTGGTCTTCTGCGTGGTGGTCTTCTGCGTGGTAGTCTTGGGGGTGGTCGTTTTGTCGGAAGGCGCGGCAAAAATGATACATTTAATAACGAATCCCCAGCTGGGTCTTCCAATCGCCGATACGACTGCGTAGTCCGACTGGAGACCTCCTTTGGCGACACTAAGTCTCACTATCCACGGGTTCGGAGTCGTTACAATGATGAAGGAAATTTCGTATCCCGGGGGAGCCACCCCCGTACACGTCGCTATGTTCGGTCTTCCTATAATCCTCGGCTGAAAACGCAAGCATTTCCATTTCAAACGACTTTCACGCGCGCGCCGCTCCGGATCGCCAACGAAATTCATTACCGTTTAACACTAGATCTACGTTCGTTACACGCTTCGTTAAGTAATAGGTAATCTTCGAGATTAGGGGACAGAATTGTATCTATCGAAGTGGATCTAAAATTTTACTGAGACACCGGTGTAGTAAATCTAGTGTTGGATCGTTCAATTTTCGATTATATCCGTTTCGTTGGTAAGTCGAACTTTATTTAATTTAGATGAATTGTAGAATATGGGTTTCTCTTATTTGTCGTTTGAAAGTATGATAATGTGGAGTGCGTTTAGTTATTGTGAATAATTATTGAAAGAAGTAGTGGAGAAGTTGAAACGACACTGCTAAGCCGAGTTCAACCTGGATAATTATTAATTGCAACAAATCGAAGAAAGATGTAATAATGGATCTCTTACTCTGCGGATGACTTGGCTGTTGACGATTATCTCGCCCGGTTGATGCCATCCTTCGATCAAGTTTCCCCACGCGACTGCGATTAGGGACAAACACGTGGCAAGGAGTATTAGATTGCGCATCCTTGACAGCGATCTCTCGACGGTTTAGTAGCTACTTTAATTGTCGCGGATCTGCCGTGCAACGTATCACTGTAGATCATTTATAGGTTGCTCTTATCAATCGCCGCTGATGATTCTCAGAAAATTGACGAATCGCCTCCGATCGGCTATACCCATTGTCAAACACTGACAACAACTTACGTAAATGTCTTCTATCCCTTTCTGCACGAGTAAAGCGTGTTTCTCACTTCTGGAACGTGAAGCTTTTAAATTCGTTTAGCAATCGCGAAAATCAAGATAACCCTAACAAGATTTTATAATAGAAATTGCTTGGCTCGAGATTAAATCGATCTCTTTACCGAATAGATCAACTCCTTGTCTTATAATATCGTCACACTCGTGGCGAAAATTTCGTGTGTAGTTTAACCAATATAGATACCATTCCCTCGAGTTGAAATGCAACATTATTATCCTTGTTATTAATTTATATAATTTACAGTAAATTAATTCATAGAATAACCACAGAATCTTTTTATTTTCCTGGTAAACGATTAACGGTGGACAGTGGCAACAAGTGTAACCACGAAACTAATCTGTTAAAATTATTGATTAATTATTCAATTAATCGTTTAACTAATTAAAGAATTATTTGATTAATTATTGAAATTATTATTGAACGAATTGAATAACTAATTGAACAATTAATCGAATAATTATTGAAATCATTATTTACTTAATTGAATAAATAATCGATTAATCATTGAAATTATTTTATTATTACCGCTGCTCTCAATACAATATTTCTTAGGATTAAAACGAACCGAATATCAATGTGTATTCATAGGGAACTCGGTTACTTCTGGATCAACCGTTTCGCGATCTACATTTCCCATGGCGGCGATCATTCTCTCCATTCATTCTTTCCATTACCTATGTCGCTACGCTGGGGGTTCGATAAGCGAGACAGTTGCGCCCGTGCGATCGCAAAAAAGTCGTGATCATGAGAGCCGATAGCCACCAGGCAACAATCGACTATTTACATTCGCAGGTATCGAACGATAACGAGGAGAAAACAACTCGCGACGTTACGTGACCATCGTCACCGGGTACAGTGGAATATTTCAGAGGCCCCGCTCAAACCCCGACAGTCTGGAATAGAAGCGCGAACGCTGGATCGCGATCGATAAGCGGTCAGCGATCTCTATCCTCGACAGAAATCGATATCGAACTTTGTAGGCGTTTGCAGGTGGTGTGCCGACTAATAAACTTGTATATCTCGAAGGACCACCCGATAAGAATCGGGAACAAAACTTAGAAGCGAGTAGGAGGTGAAGCGGACTTTGACTATAGTGCTATGCGCTTGATCGAAATTGCTAATTGATGCTTTGCAATCCGTACTTCCTACTCCGTACTCTGTGCTATGCACTATTTGAGCTGATACTTGTCAAACTTGTTTCTCAACTGTGCGCATTTAACTGACTGGGCCTCCCAGAATCGTCTTCGACGACACCTCCGCAAGTCGTCTTCGCGGGGGTGAAGTCGTTCTGGTTGGCCCTTTGACATCTAGCTACTCGTGGAAGGGAGAGACAGTCCCCTCCCTTCTTGGGTCTTCCATGTTGCTAATGTTAATAACTAATTCGTCCCGTTTGCAGTCGTCGACCGTGGCAGGTAAAAAGCAAGAAACGCTTAGGCCTTAATAACACACGCTAACAGACGGGCTAGAGAGTTAAAAATACTGGTGACTGGACACCAGATGTAAACAATAGGCAAGGAAAATCTACAGCAAGAATCGCGGGCCTTATGGGTTCTGGGATTTGTGGCTGCCACGGTCTTTTCTCGTAATACTTAAGGACGATTGCAAGTTGCGACGGGACGAGGGCTCTTATTGTTACGAGAAAACTGCCAAATGTGCAGCTAAGTCCGAGAAAAGATAAAAGTGTATACAAAAACTAAAACTGCAATGATTTAAGGGCTCGAGAGAAACGGTAAGGCTGTAAGTGGCCTTAACAGAACGAATTTGTGCTTACAATTAGCGAAAACTTTCCGCCCGCATTCACGTCAGAATTCTTCGCGAGCACGATTTGCACGTGTGATTTGTAAATTTGGTAATTAAGAAAGATCGTTGACATTTAAATCCCTTCTTCCCCTTTACCACTATTCGATAACCTCGAAAGAATGTGTTTAATTATATTACGTCGTCCTATTAGTAACGTCGTTTCGTTATCATCTCTTGCGTTAGCGTCTAGAGTAAAAGATTATCACGTTTTATCAATCGTCGACGTACCGATCATCGTTGCATATGAGTTTCTCAGTTTGTCATTAATTCTTTAATCCAACTTTCGAAACAGCTCCGTGGTTTTACGGTCGAACATGCATAAGAGAAGCTTTGAATACTGTTCCTAGCTTTACCGAGAAATCTTGCATTCGCCACGACAAATGTTACTGTCTCGAGTATTTTATCGGAGACTGATAGCCTTTTACTCGGCGATAAAATCATTTCGCTCCCGAGAATCGGCATGACGCATCCAACGTGAAAAGTACAAAGGGGAAACAATTTTCAGTGACCGTTTCGCAACTTCAGCTCTGTTGATCGTTATCCGCGTCCTCGAGGGTCATTTGAATATCTTGAATTCGCGAGTGGCCACCGGGGAATCCAAATATTTGCCAGCATTCGCGTTTTGCAATTCCGCCGGGAAAATAAACAGCGATTTGTATTTTTCCGGTACAGTTATCGGGTCGTGTTAATTTCGAAGAAAACAGCAACCTTTCCCCGAACGGTTTGTTTCATTTTCCGCGGACTTTTCCACCTTCGACAATATATTAGGAGCCGAACGCCGAGCCGATTGTCGGATTTTCCAGCGAAGGACGGAACGAAATCCTTGTTTTAATAAGCGCCGCCCTGGTTTCCGGCTCGCGCGGGAACCGAGGACCGAATAACTCGGCCGCAAGAAAATATTGTATTTCATTCGGGAATATTTTTCTTCGATATTTGTCCGGCGGGAAATAGATATCGACCCGGGGGCAAATTACCGGACGCGTTTCCTTCCAATTTATTGTGATAGCGTATAATCAGATTGCGGAATTCCATGCATTAATATCCCGCGAAAAGCCTCGGCGAATTAATAAAACTCGAGCTCCGATAATACCTCATTCGGTTTTATTGATCTTGTCATTCGACCGAACCATTCAACGCGGAATTGCGTTCTGTTCGTCGTCAATACCTTGAAATTCCGTTATAAAAATATCTATTTGCGACGCGATATTTCCTAGTATTTATTTTACCGAACGGACAATGGATGAAAGGATATCGTCATTTATTCATCTTTTAATGAAGATTTCATGGGCTTCTGTAGCGTATCATCGAAACTTAGACCATTTCATTTGACCTCATGATAAGTTCTTGAAAAATTCATTTTTAACTCTAATATATCATTTATTTTACTCTGTAAATTTATTATAAGAAATCTTAATAATAATTGATCGTTGGGTAACAAAGGTCAATTTGATTATTGTTTAATTATTAAAAGAAACAGAACGAAACCATAATCAGTATTGCACAAAGTATAATGGTAGTGGTATTTCGAATTGTCGAATGTTTTAAACTGATTTTTTATCGTAGGTAATTAAACATGGCCATGCTGCGGCGCGTAATGTCACAGTGTTAATTCTCACAGAAGAACCGATGACCGAAATATACGATCAGACGGCGCACGAACTATTTCGCATTTTCGTTGATTAATTTCGAACCTATGGTCTTGATCGAATATGAGCACGAGCGGTGTAATGACACGTGTGCCACGAACGTTTCCATAAACATGTCACCGAATTAGAATATCGAATATCGATCAGCGAACACCGGTCCGGGGCGTTACCGTCGAGTCGAGCGTAGATAATTAATTCAGTACGGAATAACGTTCACATCGCTCCGGGAAAGTTATTCTTTTTCGCTCATTCGCGTTTGCTCTGAACAGGGAAAATCGTTGCCGCATATACGACCGGCGGAACGGCACGAATCGCCGGTGAAAAATGTTTCATATCCAGGAAATCTGCAATCCCGCGAAGACGAGAGAATAAAACACTCGACAACGACCGGTTCCTTTCGGACGCATTAATTAATTTTAATCTCGGAGAAACTCGAACGTTTATTTTCATCTTATTCCCCTCTCACTCGGAGAAAATGTGGCAACTAAAAATGCCGGCGCGACAAATAAACGCTGTTAATTGTTTCCCAGATGGAAAAAGTCAAGCAACGTAAGCTGGTTAAAATTCTTTCACGCTCCGCGGCCGAAAAACAAAATGAAAGATCCTTGTAGCAATTCGCAGCCCGGTTGAAATTAGAATTCCCGATGAAAAGTGTTTCCATTATAATTAGCTTTCCCATTTGGGAAAAAGGAAACTCGATGAATATTCATTTCCACAAATATTCGCAGTATAACCGGAGCATTTCGGAATCTCTCCTAATATCGTCCGAGAATTGTTCTCCTTTCAATTCTAAAACCTCTCTCGCTCTCTATTGTTCAGCAATTATTCTCCTTGAAATTCGAAAATCTCTCTCGATATTGCTTCGAACAATTATTCTCCTCGAAATTCCAAAATCTCCTTCAACGTAGTTCACCGATCGTTCCCTTTCAAAATTCCAAAATCTCTCCCTACATTGTTCCACAATTATTCTCCAGGAAATTCGAAAATTCACTTAACGTTGTTCGACAATTATTCCCTTTGTCCCGTCTATATCGCGTCCATCAAGGACCTGACCTATCTTCCCATCAGGCCTTGCGCCTCCGATGCATTTAGATGCCGCGTACACCGAGCCAGCTTCCGCTTTCCAGAAAAGTCGGTGCAGCGTGTCGTCCTCGGCGAAATTTCCTATTTTTCTCTCGAAAGAAGAGAAACTGCGTCGATAGAAATCTAGTCTGGGACCGGGGGTGAGCGCACGGCAGGGGACGTGTCCCGAATTTTCCCGGAGATTCGATCAACGTCATCGACTCGCGATATATCTCAATCGCGCGACCCACTTCTCGGAAAATTGCAGATTTCCTTGACGAATGAGAGCGGCGCGGG